TGGTCATGGGGGATAATGTGGCCAGGTAAATGTCAGGTGTGGTAAGAATGTGAATTCACGCCCAAAAGGAAAGGACATTAGCAGGGACGCTCTCAGCCAATGAAAAGACAGGCTCCTGATGCCAGTTGCAAAGATTCATAGTTCCTTGATTTTAAAAAAAACCTAGCGTTGAACTAAATAACAGGAAATACTGGGGTGTGTGGGGGGGTGCAGGACCAGGAGGGACCCCCTCCATCCATCTGTTAATCTTCATAAGACCGCCATCCGTTCTTGCTTCTACCAACAATTTTAACACTTTTTTTTTGTTTCCATCAACTATTAAGAAAAAAAAATTGCACATAAACAGAGCAAAACACAAATTCCTCAAAGCCGTTTCAAACCTGATTTTTTTTTAAAAAAAGATTGTTTGTTTGTTGTGTGTCTTTTTTTTTTCTTTTTCTTTTGGTGTTAACGACAACCAAATCATGTTGAATGAACTGATCCTGTTTTTTTCCCCCCATGCCGCGGGCAGCTGAAGGCAAAAGCCAGCCTCGAACCGAGCCACAAAACCGATGCAGCAGGCGGTTATCACACCGATGCTGTTTCGGGGAGTGGGGGTGGGAAGAGAGACGGACTGTGCCTTTTTTCTGCCTGTCACAGCTGCTCCTGAAGAATGTCTTCTGCGGTTCCTGAACCCGAAGCCAGCAAAGCGTCCTATAAGGGTACCGGCCCATCGGTGGTTGGCATCTGTCTTCCCTTTTTTGGCCTTTGAATTTTTGAATTTAATTTTTTGGCCTTTGCACACAGCTCCGATGGACAAGCGCCGGTGGGAGCATCTTTTGCGACGATGCAGGCAACACCCGTTGTGCATTCGTGTTTTCAGTCTCTTTGCTGACACCAAAGCCCGTCCATACAACTGAGCTGCGAGGAATAATTTCCAAGCCAAGACACGCAACTCCACTGCCTAGGCTAGTGTCATTCAACGGTGGCAACTTTTTAAGGCGGGCGGACTTCCAACTCCCAGAATTCCCCAGCCAGCCGTGTCTGTTTCCTCTTCACCTCCTAAAGTGGAGAGATTTCAGAGGAAGGGATTACAAAAGAGTAAGTTCTGCTGGCTGGGGAATTCTGGGAGTTGAAGTCCACCCATCTTAAAAAGTTGCCAAGGTTGAACAACAGTGGCCTAGGCAAAAAAAACAACAGACCTCCCCCAAGAGGGACGAACCGCTTCAAAGCAAACCGTTTTCACTCCAAACTTGTCCCAAATGTCCTTTTTAACCCTTTGGAGATGCCTCAGGCTTGAAATCTCAAAAACAGGGTTGTCTTGAAGTCGAGACCCCGAACCAGCTCAGTTGACCCCTGAAACAAGCTGCTTCTAATTCAAAAGATGTCACTGGGCGCACCCCTTACAGACCCCCCCCACCAAGGAAGAAAGTTTAGGATTTCCAAAGGCTGAAAAACTTATAACATTGCAGGAACGTGGGCATTAAAAAATGTGAACTTTCACAACGAGTGATGAGATTCCTCAGGCGAGCTGGGTGCGAGTCGCACAAGAACCACCGGTGGGTAAAACTAACGGGGGAGAATTAAATCCTAAAAAAAACAAAGACTTCGGAAAAAGTGGCCTGGTGTCCCTTCAAAAAAAAAGCTGCATTTCGCGAGGGTCTCCGAAGAGCAGAACCACTGAGTTTTAAAGCAGAAGAATGAGACCTTCGGGAATCTGGCGCGTTTGGTGTATCTCTTTCCCTACAAAGCCATTTCTGCAAAAAAAAACCGCCAGCCACCTCAAGAGCTTTGCCAGCTAGAAACAGCTGTAACAAAAACCACACAGGATTGCAATCGGATGCTCTTCCTTGGCCGTTGAAGAGGACACTTGGTGTGACCTTGGCAAGGGAGGCCAGTGTTTTATAAAAAAAACTTAAAAATTGAAGCATATCGCACGGATGCAGAAGCCGGCCGTGCTGAGAAAGAGACGGAAATAAAAAACGAAGAGCGATGGAGGTGGAGAAGGAAAAGGGCAAGGAGGGAGGAAATCGGAAAGCCTCGGAAGCCTAGCCTATTTGTAGCTTGGAGAAGCAAAACAGGAGCTTCAAAACAATCAGGGCTGATCGGAAATCAGGTACAGCTAAACAGAGGGGGAAAAAAATCACCGTGCTGTGGATCAATTCCCAAAATCCTTCCAATCTACCATGCTTTTACCTCCTCGACACTGCACACCTGTCACAAGCCACCTTGACTAGCTTTGGCTTCACTTATGAGTCCGAGATGCACATCTGAATCACATGCAAACCATGTGTGTTTTTAAAAGTTCTCCAGTACTGCAACAACTGAGAACAGGGACTTCATTCCCCGGCAGCTGAATCGGGCCAACCGAAATTTTGACTTCCCAGCCGACGCATCTCCTGCTACTTAAATCAGGAATTTGATGGCTACAAACGCCTTCAATTGCACACTCCTTCTTCCCAGGCGCCTTAAAACATCCAGCTTCCTTTAGGGATTATTACACAGGATTCCTTCTACAGCGGGGGGGTGTCCAACCTGGCCCACTTTTAAGACCGGCGAACTTCAACTCCCAGAATTTCCTGGCCATCTAGCCGTGTCCGTTTCTTCTTCTCTTAAACCTCCGGAAGTGGAGAGATTGCAGAGGAAGGGATTACAAGAGAGTTAGCTCTGCTGGCTGGGGGAATTCTGGGAATTGAAGTCCAACAAGTCGTAAAGGGGCCAAGGTTGGAGACCCCTGCTCTACAGCACAACAGTTCTGCCCCAATCCTATTCAAACCCCAGAGCACATGCTTTCCCACTCACAATACAAGACTGGGATTGTCCACAAGAGTGGAAACCGTACTTAAAAAAAAAGAAAAAGATGGAGGAGCTATTTCAGAGGTGTCCAAACTTGGGAACTTTTAAGACTTGTGGACTTCAACTCCCAGAATTCCCCAGCCAGCATGGCTGGCTGGGGAATTCTGGGAGTTGAAGTCCAAAGTCTTAAAAGTTCCCAAGTTTGGACACCCCTGATGAATTTGAACAGAGTCTCAGTTGGAAGAGATGCAGCCTGCAATTCTGGCCAACCGGCAGAGGCTCGGGGTTCGTTTCTTCCGCCCGCCGCACCATCTCCAGGATGAAAAAATCTTCCAATTTTTATTCAGCTTTCTCTTTTCCACGTGGGCAAAATTCCGCTCCGGGCAGATTGAAGGTGTTGCAGCTGCTTTTCCAACCGGATCCAAACCGTGCTTGGTTCACATCAAGTGTTCTTCCCAATTGCCCTCTCCAAGTAAGTGCTAAAGTGGTTTTCGATCTCACATTGTATAAAAGCTCATGAAGAAAACTAGGAAGATGAACAGGAGGAAGAGAGGAGAAAAGCTGGATTGGGTCAGTTGCTTGTTTGGGGGGGGGGAGGAAAAAGCTGCTCTTTCAAGCACCCAGAAGGGCATCTAGGTGTGCCCCATTCCTTCTTCACTTCACAGGCATCAGGGATAACGTTTATCGCTCGAGCTTCAGCTCCTTTGTGCTGCTAAACGGGACGGGACGGGGAACATTTGAGGGGCGATATTAATGTCGTACCAGATTCTCTCCGATTCAGGCCTCCGACTTGCTGATTTGGGATCGAATTGTGCTGAATGCCGCACAGGCCTTGCAAACCCATGGATGCATTTGTTTTTGTTTAATTCCCGTAAGAAACGTCTCCATGGGAAGCAACGAGGGAAAAGGACAACAGAAGCAGAAGGTATAAGAGGGTTCAGGACTGGCTGAGGACCATGGTCGCTGGGGTCCTTCCAGAGCTGGTCTGATCTGCGGGATTGTCCGGAGCAGAAGTGCAAAACGAAACTAAACAAATATGGATTTTTTCCCCTCCATGTTAAACCTTACCAGGAACCTCACATTTCTATAGTCGTGGGGTTTAAAAAGTCCGCCTTCGTTTATCTCCCCTGCCCAGATTCCCCCAGGATGAGATTTCAATAGGAAGCCCAGGAGCTCCTGGAGTTTTCACGCCGTTCCCTCCGCCCCCCCCCCAAAACAACCCCACTTTTACAAATCGCGAAGGTCTGGTGGAAACTCCCTCCCACCCCCCCCACCCCAAAAAAAGTGGAGAAACGAAAAGGCAAAAGCCTCCCACGAGGAAATTCGGGGTCCTGGCGGTCGCTCTTCGAACACAAAAGACAGTCTGTGCTTGGAGAAGCGCCACCCGCACTCGCCTCCTTCCATCAGCCCGGGGGAAGAAGTTCTCGGGGCTCCTCCTTAGGCAGCGCCCAGGTGGTGTTGCTTTGGGGGGGCCCATTCCAGGAGGGCCTGCACAGTCTCTGCCACCTGCGTCAACCCCTTCTCTTCTAATATGTGGAGAGGCAAACACAGTCGCTCCTAGAAGGGGGTGGGGAGAGACACACATGAACACACACAACACACGGACACAAATGGCGGGAGGGAAAAAATAAAACAAAGGATGAGGATGAAAAATGGATAGGAGAACAGGGAGGCAAAATTAAAATTTGGACGGGGGGGGAGCGTGGGCGAAGGGTGGGATGCCGGGGGTTGAATGCACGGAGTCCCGAAGGTGCTTTTCCCAAAAAAAGGAACTGGGTTTTCTCCGTTTGTTGATATATTCGGCCTACGGCGTATTATAGCAATAGCAATAGCAATAGTTAGACTTATATACCGCTTCATAGGGCTTTCAGCCGTCTCGAAGCGGTTTACAACAATCAGCAATAGCAATAGTTAGACTTATATACCGCTTCATAGGGCTTTCAGCCCTCTCTAAGCGGTTTACAGAGTCAGCATATCGCCCCCAACAACAATCCNCCACCTTAGGCGTGAGTTCTAGTCCCACCTTAGGCATGGAAACTAGCTACTGTAGGTATCTTTGAGAAACCGAGACAGTTCCCCCCCCCCCACGCCACGCCAGCCCCAACCCCCCTAGAGACATAGGAGCAAAGGACTATGAAGAGAAGACGAGTGAATTCAGATAAAGCAGCTCAAGATCCCCGAAGGGGAGAGACTCCAAAGCCCATCTCTCCGCTTGCTTCCTGCAGTGCCTGGCGTGTGAGCAAGCAATCATAGAGGACCGGAAGGAGAAAGAGAACGCGAGGAAGAAGGTCGAGCAAGACGCCCTGGAGATGAAGAGTATCTTGAAGGTAAGAGGCGGCTTCGGTCTTGAAGGGCTGCAACAAGGGTGGGGAACCATGGGCCTTTGAGGACTCGTGGACTTCCCTGGCCCGCAACTACCAAACCGACCACTTAATGGGCTTCCTACCATCCTGGGGAGAGCCAGGTCTTTCAAAAGACTGTCAAAGCGAGGGGCCAATTTATCTCCGCATGGATGATGTTACACAGGGCGGGAGCCGCCACCAAGAAGGCCCTTCTCCTAGGTCCCACCAGATGGACCTCCAGAAGAGAAGAGAACCCATAGCATCCCCTGCCTCCCTTCTCTGGTGGGTTGGGTAGATGAAAGTGGAAGAGGTGGAGCTTCAAGTTACCTGTCCTAACATGGGCACCAAGCTTGGAGCTGAGGCCAGGGTTGCTGCGGACACCAACCAGGCCGAGAGCTGGACTCTCGCACCGGCGTCGGTTGAAGGAGCCCAGTGTGCCAGGCTGGTTCCGGTGGCCGGGAGGGGATTTTTCCAACGCCCGCTTTATTCTTTCAGCTGCAGGCCTGGTGGAGAGGGATGATGGTGCGCCGATTCATCGGCCCTTACAAAAACCTGAAGAAGATGCTGGAGGAAGAGCCGGTCGCCAAAGACAAAGGGAAGAAGGGGAAACTGGGGCCAAAGAAGAAGAAGTGACGGAAGAGCTTATACTGCCCTCCTCACTTCAAATCTGTGCCCCTCGGAAAAGGAAGCGGCTTTGTGTTTATTTCTTCAGCGGATTCAAAATAATGAGAAATGTTCGCTCTCTGAGCACTTGTGTCTCTCATTTGGGGAGGACCGATCCTCGGGTATCAAAAGCAGGGGTCTTTTTCATATTTTTTTTTAAATGAGAGAGAAAAGGGAAGCAGCTGATGTCCAAGGGGAGTGCCCAGACTTTAAACTGGTGATTCTAAGGTGTAATTATTGTAGGGGGATTTGTCTCAAAGAGTTCGATGAAATTGTTGTGGCCCACCAGCATATTCGTACAGTGAGGAGGTTGGGGAGGAAGATGGGCCAGTCCTGGAGTCTGGGGAAGGCTCGGATGAGGGCTCTGTGTCGGAGGCAGAGAGGGGGGCCAGGNAGAGATCCGGACCCTCCCCACTCTCTCGGCCTTCCGAAAGGCCACAAAAACCTGGCTATTCCGGCAGGCCTGGGACTGTTGACCTCACGAATGAGGTCCAGCTCCACCTAGATTGAGTGTATGATGTGTTGCTTTTTAATCTGTTTTTCTCTTTCCTTATTTTTAACTTTTTATCTTTTTAGTCCTGTATTTTGTAAGCCGCCCGGAGTCCCGTTCGCTTATACATCCCGTCACATGTCAGAGGAATATCAAGGAAAAAAACAAAGCATTGAAGAGCAAATCACCCTCCCAATTCCAATATTTTGATTCTGTTTTTTTTTTAAACAAAAAGATCTTTTAAACCAGAGGGGTTTTTCTCTGGCCTTCCTTGCACCTGGTGGGTGGGTGTGCAAGCAAGGTTGTTGTGTGCAAGCCAGCCTCCTGCAGAGTTCGCTTCATGACGTGAGATTTCCCCCCCCCCCCGCCCTCTTCGGACTCCAAGTGAACAAGGACCACCCAGCCGGATTTGGAGGTGACTTTTATTGAACCAACGAAGCCCAGCAAAGCAACAGAGCCCGCACCAGCCTGGCGAAAAGAGAGAGAGAGAGAGGTGTACAAAGAGAATCGTGCAAAACAGGCGTGCGCAGCAAGCATCGAAGGGGGAAAGAAAAGCCAAACTCTTATTAGCGGTGGGTTTTCTAGGGAGAATCAAGTACGGAGAAAACAAGACAGAGAGAAGCCTTCCTCATTGGTGGAAATTCATTCACCAGGTGTGCAAAAGTGACATTTTATTTATTATTTTTGGCTTGGCAGATATACCGAGATGCCGACCCTAGCTCTGCCCGGTTGGAAGATTGGCACGTGGGCTCATTTCTTATCACCCGTCCGTCCAAACGGCCCCATCTAGAAATGTTTGGTGCGCCAAGACAGACAGTGCTTGGCCTAACTCAGTGGGTCTCCACCTGTGGGGGCTTGTGACGTCATCACAGGAGGTCTGCGAAAGCTTTCCCCCCCCCCAAAAAAAGTTATGATTTAAACCTGGAGTTAGAAGTCTCGGGGGTCCGTGGCCACAAAAGGTATTTAAAGGAGAGGTCCCTGGTGAGGAGAAGACGGAGAACCACGGGTTTAGTAGCAATTCTGGAAAACTGAACATGCGCGGGGCTCACTTCAGCCCCGTCTCGATTTTGAATCTTTGCTGATCAGAGTCCCATGGTCTCCTTCCAATCCTCCCCACCATCAGGCAGGCGAGAGACGGATTGACAGAGTTGGAAGGGACCTTGTAGGTCATCTAGCCCAACCCCCCCCAAGCGGACTCTACAGCAGTGATGGCAAACTTTTTCGGCACCGAGTGCCAAGAAGGTGGTGTGGAAATATTTGCACACGCTTGTCAAGGCTGCGCTCCAGAGAAGCAAAACTTCCGGGTTCTAGCGCCAATGTACGCCCGACGGTCAGCTGGCCGGCATCCATGCACAGGCCAGTTTTTGGCACTGCCACGCGTGCGCAGGGATCGCACTCCGGAAAAGCCGAAAGGTTGTGTGGAAACATTGTGCCTGCTTGTCGAGGCCACGCTCCGCAAAAGCCAAATTTCCAGATTCTGGCGCCCATGCGCACACACTAGTTTTTGGCACTACTGTGCATACAAAGGAGAGTTAATCATTTTGCGCTTATGCGTGCCAGAAACCCGGAAGACAAACAAAGCCGCGTGCTGAGCAACATGTCTTCATGGGCCAATTTGGGCCTGCGTGCCATAGATTTGCCATCACGGCCCGACACCATTTCTGAGAGGACCGTCTGGTGAAACGCAAGAGGCATTTGGTTCTTAGCTTAAGGCAGGGTGTGCAAGATTGAACAAGACCCGTGGACTTCAACTCCCAGAATTCCTCAGCCAGCTCTGCTGGAGGGGACCCCCGAATGCCTTTGAGCCTTATATTTCATTTTTCCCAGGCAAAAGCTGGGAAGATTCCTGCATTATAGGCAGAGAAACAATGAAGTAGCTAGTTTGAACTCTACACAAGTCATTCATGCTGGACGTTTTTTTTTAAACTTGTTGTAAGATGCCTAAAGTTGCCCGAGAGCCAGCATTTTAACTAACTAACTAACTAACTAACTAACTAACTAACTAACTAACTAACTAACTAACTAACTAACTAACTAACTAAACGGTAGTCCTCAATTCACGAACACAATTGGAACCCAAATGCTGTTGCTAAGCGGGACATTTCTTAAGCGAGTTTTGTCCCAACTCACAACTTGTTAAGTGAATCACGGCGGTTGCTGTTAAGGTAGGAACACGGTTGTTAAGTGAATCTGACTCCCCCATTGCCTTTGCTCGCCAGAAGGTCGTCCAAGGGGATCCTGTGACCTCGGGACACTGCAACCGTCATAAATGTGAAGCAGTTGCCAAACATGTGCCCCATGGGGATGCTGCAACCGTCTTAAGTGTCAAACACGGTCATAAGCCCCCTTTTTTCCCCCTGTGCTGTTGTAACTTTGAACAGTCACTAAACGAACTGTTGTAAGTGGAGGACTACCTACAACTAACTAACTAACTAACTAGATAGATAGATAGATAGATAGATAGATAGATAGATAGATAGATAGATAGATAGATAGATAGATAGAT